TCATTCATGGACCGGCTGCCAAACCGGTTATTTCCCTTTGTTTTGTCTCTTAGGACCTCTTGTGGACATGTTGTTAATGGACGGAGCAGGAAATGGATTTGCGTCCACCTGCATACTCTTTTCTGCTAACTTCAGTCTGCCCTCATCTAGGGCCTTCTGGATTGTATTTCGTAGGTACGTACAATTTGCAGTAGCATGTGTACAGCTCCCATGCCACTTGCAGTACACTTTCCCTTTCAGCTCTTCTGGTGACGGCATTCGCTGTCCATCCTGGAGTTTAATTTGTTTATCCTTCAGCAGATGATCAAATATCTATTTGACTTTAGACACATCGAAGGTATACTGTACACCTCCGATCTCCTTCTCCCTTGTAGGCCTTAATGCCGAACAAGAATAAGTTTTTCCCTTCAACAATTCAGCGGCCAACACATCTTGTTCCTCACAGCAATCCTCATCGGCTGAAATTTCATCATCTGCACAGCAAGTTACCCTAGCTTTTCCATCTTTCTTCCACCTTCCGACTGCAGCATCCCGTCTCTCTCGGATGAGCTTTTCTGCTCTCATTACTAGTGCATTAAATGCGAAAAATCCTGGAAATCCTGAACTCCTAACCGATCTCGAAGATCTGATCGCATGTTATCTACTGCCATCGCAGTTGCTTGCTATTCAAGAATTTGCACTGTACACCGCATCTTAGCTTGTCAAAATCTCTCCAAGAATTGTGCCACAGGCTCATCATACCCCTGTTTTATGGCTATCAGGTGAGATATTGTAGTCTCCACTGGTGGCACATAAAAACGGTCATGAAAAAGCCTCTCTAAATTTGACCAAGATTGCAGGGTACCTGGAGCCAACGACGTATACCACGAAAATGCAGTATCCGTTAGAGATAAAGAAAATTGTTGTAAATGATACCAACCATTTCCTCCCAAATCCCTGCACTGAGCTGTAAATTTCCCAATATGCTCTATCGTTGATCTCCCATCTTCACCTGAGAACAATGTAAAATCCGGTGCTTTATTTCGAACAGGCAACGGCATCCTCTCACTTACCCAAGTTGGATAGGGTTTTTGATACACCGGTCGCTCTTCAAATTTCATTCGTGGGAAAGCCCTTCGGATACTTTCTACTAGAATATCTGTATCTATCAATGGTCGGGCATCCTGCTGATTAGGAATCAGCGGCTGCCCTCCTGATCCTTAAGCTTGGCCAGCCATTCCTCCCTGAGGGACAGCGGCATACGGAGCCTACTGAACCCACGGCTGTGGAGGTGCGTTCCATGTAGGCTGATCTGAGAACTGCCCCGGCAATGTTGTCTTTGGATGGTTTTCATAAACACCGTTTCCCGTGACATCCGGTCCTCCTACCATCTGAGGGCCAAAGCCTCCGCTGGTTTGCCCTCTTTGCGGGCGTGGGAGAATTGTTACATTGCCGAACTGCAATCCTGCTGCACTCGTCAGCCCCTTAGGCGATCCAGCATTTCCACAACCTAAGATGGAACCTACATTCCCTGTGAGGGTTGGAATCCCTCCACCAGATGGAGTTATTCCCCTCGGACCTCTATATGTATTTCTTGAAATTCCAGAATTCTGGACTCCACTAGCCGCTGCTCGACGTTCTTCTTCGCGAATCTGAAATGCTTCATTCCTCACAGTTGGTCGGATCACATCAGCCAATTGCCTAGAGATTTCATACGCGATATCCCCGATTCCAGCCTGAATACATTGATTCACTTCTCTGCGTACCATGGTCACCATCGTTTCGGTGGATGATGATTCTTCTTCTTTCCTAAGCCCTGGGGTGCGGCTTCCACTGGGATGAACCGGCGTTCCAGTTTCAGTAATTCCTGCACTGATATTCAGACCTGAGCTCTGATTCTGATTTTCCATTGTGATCAGTTTACCACTAAGAAGTTGCATACACGAACACGAACCCGACTTGGTCCCACCAGGCGTGCCAATTGTTGGAACCTGAATTTCGGAAGTTCCAAAATAATTCGTCGACGTCGTCAGTGTGGGTTCTGAAAGTACTATAGAGAGCCAATCCTTCGTCGAGTTATGAAGATTTCACGAGATTGATCGAACTAAACTACGATTAACTATGAAAAGCGAGTAAAACAAATTGTAAGAACGTGAAAGCAAGTAAATCGAATTAAATTGCATAAAAATGAAAATAGAACATGAAAGAAAAGTAGAAAATAGATGATTTGATCTGGTTGTGCCTCTGTGTGTTGTGTTTTTTTCTAATTTTAATCCTAAGCTAGAATAACAACTTCTCCCACTAAAAGGGGCAGTTACAATTATTCTTCCACTTCTTCTAATAGCCAGGTAACCTCCTTCCACCAGCTTCCAGCCGCTTCCATTGCCACTGGACCGAGTTCCATTCGTTCTGGCGTCTTCCGTCGTTCCTGGACCGGGTTCCATTCGCTCTGAACTTCTTCCATTCCCTCTGGATCAAACCTGCAGCCTTACCCTGACTTGCTTCCATCATACTCCTAGCCGGTCTACGGGAATATATCCCCAACAGCCTCGAGTTACATGAAATCCTCACTCTTCTTTCTTTCATTTTGACCCATAGAACCTTCCATATAGGACATATAGGCGTCGGGGACTTCCATTAATATTACAAAGTTGCCAACTCAGGGTCGATGGAGCTTGTTGTCCAAATGTGGAAGTTATACTTTCTTGCTCCATGGAAGCTCCGCAGCCTGATGGAAGTCGTTACCTTCAGCTTTGAATCATTTCGACTTGGGGTCCACCATTTCCCATGAACATGAAAACATAATATGATCTCGATTAAATGCTGATTAATCCAAGAAAACATCCAAATAATTCAACATGCTCTGATACCAATTGTTGAATTTAAATGCCCGATTCTTAAAGCGAAAGCGTACCTGAATATGAAGTCATATGCTAATCTTGGGTGATTAAGGGTTTGGTCTTCCAAGATCAGAGCGACGGCTTCTTTTCTATCATTGACGGGTGATGAGTAGAAATTACAGGAGAATCAGATCTCTATACTCTATCCCGGGGACCTAACCCTAGCCTATTTATAATAAGGCAAACTAATGCCACACAAAAATGTCATTGATAATGGCTGTCCGATTTTGGAAGATTTTAATCAATTGAATCAAGGCGACTTGGGCCGATGTAACATAATTTTGTTAGCGTCAGGTCCAAACATCTAAATCGGATTAATCATTGGTGAATTTTGATTAGCAATGACCCAAAAGAATGCAAGCCCGATGAAAAATCTGACCCGATTGATGATTTACGATGTTTAGCGTTTGGAATGGAAAAAGGGAATGAGTTAATTAAAATGTTAGTGAGGTTGATGGCCATGAACAAGACATTTAAATATGCAACATGATCTCAAGTAATAATGAGAAAGCAATGAAGGTAAATGAAAGTTACAAAAACCTTTGAGATTGATCAACTATGGAAGGCAATTATGGGAATGTTAATGCAACTTAATGAGAATATTGTGCATAAAACAAGAACAACAATCGTGTGGAAAAAGACCACATCTCAATCCAAGAAATTATCTTTGTTTTCTTAACATTTTCCTTGCATTTGTTTTCTTTTGTTTTTTTATTATAATGTTGAAAAGCAGGGTACAATTGTAATACCCGACCCGTAACAGAATCATCTCATTAGGTATTTAACGAATTTGATTGTTTAACCCCTAGTCGATATGTTCATTTTGATCAGATATAAATTTTTGAGCTTTTATTTGTTGTGGGTGAATTTTATCTCATTGGATAGGTTTTAAAGTTATCTTTTCAATATCACTGATAGAGAGTAGATTTTAAATGTTGAACAAAAGAGATATGTTCAATTTAGTAAAAAGTTGTATGTCAAGAGTTTATGTCACAACTGTTAAGTTTCAAAATTCACCATAAATCTTGTATAGATCCAATTGATCTAAAATTTTACGAAGAGATAGTAATTTAAATTAGCTATCCGTTGTTTCAAATGAGGGGTCAATCGAATATTGGATGAGTGAGTTACAACCCAAATAACATTTCAATATCCAGATTGTATGTTCACTGTATGGCCAAACGATTTTAAAAAATGTATTTTGCATATTTTGCCAAATTAAAAACTCTTACAACCCTCATTTCTCCCCCATTTAATTCTCCAACAGTGGATAAGGTTCATGGAAGGTTATATAATCAATCACTCAATTCTATTCCAAGTCAAATTTTACGGTAAACATTTCAACTAATTCATATTTTTGGACGCCTTTTCCATTCTAAAGTATTATCCAAGTTTTGTTCCTATTTCAATGGTTTAATTTCAGTTTGGGAATGAATGTTTTTGGTTCATATCAAATTGGCTTTGTTTTGGTTAGTAAATGATGTATTTGAACCTGTTTTTCCGTTTACCGATTGAATTTGATGTCAATTTTGAGAAATTGAGTGTAATGCAATTTTCACCAAATTGATTTCTAAATTAGGATTTTAAACTCAATTTGAGATGTGAAAATTTTAATTGATGGGGATTTTCACATATTATTGCAATTGGACCTTAATTATACGGTTAGATATTTCAAAATTGTAAAATCGACGTCGTTTGACCCGTACCCTGATTTTTAAGCCTTGTTTGAATGACTATTGACTTGAAAATGATATAAAGGTACTTTCTAAAGCCTTGTGAATGATTTCGGTAGTTGTTGGATTGAGTTGGGATCATTTGAGAGCCGTGTGTTTGATTTTTTTGTCCGAGTTACCGAATTTTGTGCATTGTTGTTGTTTGATGTTCGTGTCTTAATTGTGGTTTAAGATTGTCCGGAAGTCCCGGCCGGCTTCGGGTTGTGCCATGTTTCCATTAGGCGAGATAAGTCTACAATTAAGGTAAGGGGTTAAATTATACACGCTTGAAATAAATGGACCGTTATGATTATATCTTCGTGATATGTTAATACTAATTGCTAAATAGATTTGATGTGATATATAGTGTATATGATAAAAAAAAAAAAAAAAAAAAAAAATTGGGTTATTGATGCTGTTGGCGGTTGATCGAAGATTTTTGGAGATTTAAAAATATCTTTTAAGATACACAAAAATGATATATGTATAAAATGAAAATAGTGTCGTGCGTGTTCGTGTAGTAACTCCAAAATTTCGTCAAAAATAAAAAAATATCTTTAACCAGTGAGTGCTCGGGTCAAACTCAGGGAATATGCGAATATCCTATATTTAATTAGAAAAAAATGCAATGAGTTAATGTAATCGAAGAAACTGAAAAGATAGATTGCAAAAATTAAATCTAGCTAAAAAGCGATAAAACATACGTATCTCAAAAAGGATGAAGCGAGGCGTTTGTGTCTGACTTTTGCGTTCCTTAATGGCTAGATTTCAATGGATGAAATGAGGAGATAAATTGAAGAAACTGAAAAGATAAATTGCAGAAACTCTACTGTCACTAGAAATTTACATAAATTATACCTAAACTCGACATAAATAATTAATTAATTAATTAAAAATAAGTTATAAAATATGTCCAAACAAGAGTTATCAAACTCCTCACACTTAACCTTTATTCATCCTCGAATAAATTCAATTAGTGAAATTAAACCAAGTATTTTCTAAATAAGGACTCAATATTGTCGGTAATATCAACAATGGTGTGCAAGCGAATCTTAGCTAAAATTCAGATCCTTAAGTCATTTATGAATTATTGCTCATCTACAAAGACTCTAAATTATGTCTCCCGAAATATTTTCAAACTTAAGTATTCGGAGTAGCTTCCAAAGATGATGCGACGACTCAAAGTTTTAAATATACTGCCGCAATAAATTACATGGTGCAATAAATTAAGAAGCAAGACGGTCCGGTAGACTTTGCCACGGAGAATAAATTAATTTTGACATTTTTTGCGTCAATTTTTTTTTTTTTTGCCAAGTTAAGTCACATATAAAGATAATCAGCATTCTCCTCACACTATTCGTTCGTCAATCCCATTTTTAAGGAAACATATTCTATCCTCTCCGCTAACAAGCGCAACTAAATAGCCGAAAGTTCTAAAAATTAGACTAAGTATGGAACAAATGAAATGAAGGGGATATCGACCAACTTTATCAAAATCCCGATTTATACTTATACTTAAAAGAATTTCAATTATTGAATAGATTCAAATTCAAACTCAAATGAAACACAATTAAAATCGATTGACTCGAGAAAATAACATATTTTGCGGCTAACTTTATTTTAAATAAAAATAAATATAATAATATAAAATAATTTAATTCAACATAAATTAGACAACAACAAATTAAACAAAATAAATTAATCGACATAAATTAAACAACATAGATTGAAAATAAATAGGAATAATTTAAGCCAAAATAAATTAACCCCAAATAAATTTAAAAAAATACTAATTAATTAAATGAACCTCTGATTATCTATCTAAACTAAACAATTAAACATAAATTAAAATCAAACAAAGAACTATGTTAACTTAGCTATCATACTCTGCAACCAATTTAATTAGAAAATAAGTGGAAGCAAAACACGAAACTAAAGTTATGTTAAAGGTACAACAGAGATTAAAATTAACCAAAGAACTAAACTCATCTAATCTTATTAAACAAGCAGGCAACCAAGGGCAACATCAGAATGTCAATCTGTTTTACTACTGCAGGTAAACTGTCCAACTAGCACTCTTATACTAATGCAAAACACAACAGCAGACTTAATCCAAAACAAGGCCATCTAAGACTAATGAAATGCAGCAGCAACTTAAGCTATCGATTGAAACTAAGCCAACGAATTACAACATACTATCCTATTCTTGCATATATAACAATTACTGTAACTAATCTAACTAAACTAAAAGCACACCTACAAAACAACACTAGAGACTAACTTTAACAACTTAATATACATTATTATACAAATAACCAAGTAACATAGCACCAAAAATACATTACAAGACCTAAGCAAAGAGATTAATTATAATGCAAATAAACTTCCCTGATTTTGTAGATGTTCCAGCCGAATTCTTTTCAAAATTTTTGGTGGTGCCGATGACTTCCCTCCTCACACTTGAATTGTTGTTTGTCCACGAACAACCTTGATAAAAATCGGAGGGAGCTACAATCAAACCAAACAACACTTCAACATAGCATAATTTATCATAGATGTAATGCAACATTCAAAATATGATGCAACGGAACTCCCTTTTTCGACATCATTGAAGTATCTTCGTGGTTTAGGAACTTTCCAAACATCGACATCCTCACACTTATTGCAAACTAAGTGTCAAATCTATTTCTGAACATTCTGAAAATTCCAGAATACGCGCACAGCAACAGCTTGTTATATGCAGATTTTCATCGAATGCCCTTAATTACTCAAATCGAATCAATTCAACACAACCTGCAATCAGCCCTGGGAGGTTGTTCATGCCTTGTCTAAATTATCGATTAATCCTAAAATCAACATAAGAATTAAACTCACAACTCATCTTACTCAAATCTTCTAGAAAGTCCGCAATTCACCAATCATATACCAAATATGTATATAAATTCGACAACTCATTCTAATCTAAACTAAATCCAAATTCCAACATAATTTTATCCTAATCACAACTTCAATAAATATCAGCAGGAGGACATAATCCAATTAAGGAATTAAAGTCACAATCGAATCCCAAAACAGCCCGGCTTATGTTCGAAATTAAGAAATTCGATGAAAATAGGCAAGAGAAGGTAAAATTGAGTAATACAACCTTTCTTCCATGCTTTCCAGTGGATTCGTAGGCAGCTGGAATTGGAACAAGTGGTGCTGTTGGCTTCATCGTCGTTGGTGGAAGAAAAGAGGTTACGGTAAAGAAATTGGGGGAATTTACCGTAAAATAATTAGGGTTGGACAAAGTTGAAGGCTAATTCGATAATGAAGGAAGGTAATTGAACGCGGTATTTTCACAAATGGTGACTGGAGGAAGATTTGAAGGTTGTAGTGGTTAGGGCTTAGACTGACGGATCAATTCGGGAAAGAGAATTGCGCGCCACCACTCGAGAGGAGGGAGAGAAAAAGAGGAAAATAAATATATATATATAAATTAATTTCTTTATCTGAACTTACAGGTACTGTTATCCCCAAAATTATAAAACATTTTCTCCAAATGTTTTCGAAGAATCAATTTAGAGTTCAAGGCACCACAGTTTTAATTTTCTCTGCGTCAGACCGGAGCACTGATTTAGATAGACCGGCCGGTTCACTTGCCCTAGGTAGGCACAGCTTCGCTGGGTCAACTATCGCTCCGCTCTTGGGAGGCAGATGCCGCTCAAGGGCATAGCTGCATTTTCAGGGGAAATTTCTTCGCTTGGTCTCCATCGCTGCAGTGGCTGGGCATCTTTAATCGAATCACAAACCTCAGCTTTGCTTCGATTTTATTTTCTTATTGAGCGGATAATTTGAAAATCCTGAATGAACAACAAAAATCATGATTATTAATATTTTTATTATTATTTATTATTATGTATGCAACAAGATAAAGGTGCAGCAGCTCAATTTTTTTTTTATTATGATTATTAGTATTATTATATATGTATGTATATATACATGAATTGAAATAGAATAGAGCAGCGCAGAGCACACGAGCTGCAGGCTTTTTTATTTTTATTTTTTTGAAAATTCTGATTTTCTCCGAAAGATAAATGTCGTGCAGGTTTGATCCTTGAAGGATATCGCATTCTCGAAACCTACAAAGCATACCGCCGATGGATTAGATGTTCAAAATAAAATAAAATTCAATATTAAAATTGAATTAGAAGTGTACTCAATATTTTCCAATTAAAACAAAGATACTAAGTTTATTCTCCGGCAACGGCGCCAAAATTTGATCGAAGATTTTTGGAGATTTAAAATATCTTTTAAGATACAAAAAAATGATATATGTATAAAATGAAAATAGTGTAGTGTGTTCATGTAGTAACTCCAAAATTTCGTCAAAAATAAAAGATCTCTTTAACCGGTGAGTGTCCGGGTCGAACTCAGGGAATATGCGAATATCCTATATTTAATTAGAAAAAAATGTAATGAGTTAATGCAACCGAAGAAACTGAAAAGATGAATTGCAGAAATTAAATCTAACTAAAAAGCGATAAAATATACGTATTTCGAAAAGGATGAAGTGAGAAGTTTGTGTCTGGCTTTTGCGTTCCTTAATAGCTAGATTTCCATGGATGAAATGAGTGGGATGACGATGGCATGATAGCGAAAAATATATGTATAATTGCGGGGCAGCTCGGAATAATGAGTGTGATCAAGGGGCGGCTCTTAGAAGGAGCAGGGTGAGCGACTGCTCAGGGCCCCTCAATAATAGAGGGCCCAAATTTAAAATATTACCAATTATTATTATTATTAAATTTTAACTTGTAGTTAATATTTTTTTCCTTTCTAATTATCCAAATAAATTTTAAAATTTTAATTATATATTTTGTTTCCTCTCTTCTTTCTAACCGGTCTTATCTATCTTTCCAAATTCAATTGTCGTTTACAATTCTCTACATCACACCCTGTCGCACTGCGTCTACCCACTCAAACCAAACTCGTTCACCTTCTCTCTCTTTCGCCCTCACTCAGTCCTTCTCGCTTTTCGAACTTTCGGACAGTTCATCTTTCATCTTGTTTTTTTTTTTCAAATCTACCATTGTCATATTAAAATTTCTGGTCCAATCGATGTCAATCAGTGATATTATTTTAAAAATATATTTTAATCATGTGTTTATAGGGCCTATAATTTATTTTTTGCTCAGGGCCCCAAAAAAGTCCGAGATTGCCCTGAGCGTAATCGTATTTGCTCGCTTAAGCCGATTCTCGACTCGGTTGGTACTTCACTTTAGGGGATTTACAACGAGGCTTCAGCGACACCCGGCAAAGAACATTATAAGCAATAAACTCTACTGTCACTAGAAATTTCTGTAACCCAATAGACCACCGCCTATGCCCCATGAATTATTTTTCCAACAGTTCCGCTAGTGGCTCTACCCCTCTGACACCTCTCTTTAATCGGAATCGAATTCAGAACAGCAACTAAGCAGGTTGACAAGGCTACCGCGTACTTAGCTACGTTGAACTACCCAAAATTTGTTTGTGACGCGAAACAAGGCTGACATAGTCGATTCTTCTATCGCCCTTTCCGCAGCCTTGTCGAAAATCTAACTTGAACAATTCAAATCGAACATGGAATTTTTGGGTGTAGGTGACGTGGAGAAATATGATAAGAATTTTACTAGCTAAAATAATATGCTGGAATTAAAAGAAAATGAGGAGAAAATCAGTTTGTTTGCGACACAAAACTAAAAATCTCGTATTATTTAACTAGATAAAAATATCAAGGAATAGAAATGGAGAAAAATGGAGTGTATGGAATCTATATTATAGTGTATATGGTGTATTTAATATATTAGAGGAGATATTTATAGTGGAAGAAGCTTCTACAAGCTCCGCGGTTACAACCGCCCATAAAGAACTACATCTAAAAATAACTACTAACTACCCTAAAAATAGCTAATAATTACCTCTAAAAATAGCTAATAATAAATATTTATTAACTTACTAATAACTACCTATTTTCTAGAAAGATCTAGAATAAAAAAAATATATAAAATAGCCAAAAATTGGCTAAAAAGCAGTGTAGGATTTTAGTTAAGGGAGTTGGAAGAGTGCAGTAAATGCAGGAGCCTGGGCAATAAATATGCAGCAGCCGCTCATGGATTCCGCACAGCCGTCACTCGCTTTTCGCCCCAACCGTCGTTTCACTCACTTCTATACATGGCATTCCGCACTCATAAATGCAGCCGCTAGCTTTCCGCATAGCCGCCATCGCTTTCCGGGCAGACTCCGTCGCTTTCCGTGCAGCCTCCGTCGCTTTCCGCGCAGCCGCTATCGCTTTCCGCTCTCGCTCATTTCTGTGCTGCCGCCACTCAGATTCCATGGCTGCTCAAATATCCGCGTCAGCCGTCGCTCAAATTCCGCGCCAACCGCCGCTCACGGAGTCCGCGCCAGCCGCCATCGCTTTTCGGGCATAATTAATGCTACTGCTGCATGTATTTTTGCACTGCATTAAGAAAAATTCAATATTTAATAGAGTTTGAAATTTATTAAAATTTACACAATAAATATTTAATTAAATAAAATAAATTATCTATTTAAAATTGTTGGGATGGAAATGAGTGCAACTCCAATAAATCCTCGTACACAAATCCAAATGGGCCAACCTCCCGAAGCGTAGTTATATCACAGTTATGACACCCACTTGTCGATGAAGTAAATGAAAGTATTTCAAAGCAATAAATGAGATGCTATTTGTTTACCCGGTTCGGATATAAACCATCCTACATCCGGGGGATACCAATCCAGGAGGTGTTCATTAATCAGTGCTGATTAATAACAAAACACTCAAACCTCCACCAACCCACGCTACAAATTAATTACCCTTCAAGGTTTCAGTTGTTACAAACTCGTACTAACAACCGTCATAGCTGGGCTGCACAGAGTTCGAATGCTCCCCTGATCAGAACTCCAGTCTTCCTTTGATCTCCAAGCTTCTCCAACAGAAATACAATGAAAATCACTTACTTAATGCATGGAGGTGGAAGGGAAGTTGTTGAGAGGATAAGCACAATAATTATCTTACTACCCAATCTCTCTAAGATCACTCTATCCACTTCCCAAAACTCTAATACAATGAAACATACCACCACAGCAGCCATGAAATGACATGCATTAAATTCCCTTTGATCTAACCAAGGAATGATGTTGTATCAAATCAGTTCTGATCACAAGAAGACAAATTCGAAATGTCCAATTTGTCTTTGAGCAGCCACCAACGAGAGGGGACACAAGGGCTGCATGATTGGACTTAACCAGCAGGGCCAGAGTTGCTGTTTTTGAATGCCAACGACCACAGAGGCAAAAAGTGTTTTTGTCACTATGCCAAAAATAGATGTAGAGGAAGTGAGATTATCTTAACAAAAATGATTAATTACTTAATCTGCCAAAATTAAATATTTAAATTATTGTGTTTTCTTAAATATTTAATTTAATTAAAATTAAATATTTAAATAACAACTAAATAATGCCAAAAAAATATAATTCAAGTAACACATAAATTAATTTAATTTATACACCAAAATAATTATAAAATATATTTAAAAATTAATAAATTAATATTTTACACATAAAATACAATAAATACAATTATTAGAATAAATTTACATAAATTATACATAAACTCGATATACATAAATAATTAAATAAATAAAAATAAACTATAAAATATGTCAAATCAAGAGTATCAGCGGTCAAATAATTATTGGTAAATTATATTAGTCTTTTATTTGGCTAGATTTAGCCGTAGAATTATATGTTTTTCACCAAATCTCCTTTTGTTGATGACTTTAAATTTTTAATTTTCTCTTAGTTTCACATTTTTCTTGTCTATTTATATATTGTAGAAATATATTTTAAATAGATATTTTAATTGATATTATTTAAATTTATTAATTATTATTTAATACTTTTTCCTTCTCAAACACCGTGCAACATATGAGTTCGGCACGGGAATTTAGGTAGCTCGTACTATGTAGAGTAATTTGAGATAATTTGGAAATTATGTGATGTGATCGGAAAAAGTATGTATATAATTTTTATTTGAGTGATGTGATAAGATAAAATGAAATGTATATATATAAATATAATTAATTATTACTAAATTTAAAAATATTGCAGTGAATTTGGGACAAATAAAAAAGAAAATATTGCAGGGTGTTTGGGACTGAGAGTAGTATCTAATAGATTAAGTTTTATTATTTAAAATTATTATGTCATTATTATTTGACTTTATCATTATTTATAAAGTCTATAAATAAATTTTAAATTCATTCATTATTAATAAATATCTCATAAATCTTCTTTACTCACACCCGCTCCTCTACCAAGATGAAGATGGTTCGAATAATGTAGGGTGTGTTTTCTCCGGCCAAGGTTTGAAGTTTTCTACTGTGGAGCTATTGTGCGGTGGCCTTTGGGCGGGAATCTCACCCTACCATGACAATTGATAGGTAACATTGCAGTGTTCAAAACACGTGTAGGAAGACCACCGTATTCGAATACGACCGTGAATAGAGGCATGAACACATTTATGTTCATAACAGGATAATGAATACGGCCGTCTTAACTATCCGGATAGTTTAATCTTCTTTCTGACTCATCAATACGGTTGTGTTCAATATCTGAGATTGATTAAGTTTAATTTAAATGAGACCAAAATTGATAAAAATAAATAAATAAATAAATAAATAAGAATTGATAATTATGATATACAATGAGATCAAAAATAATTTTTACACTATTTTTGTTATGTTTTGTGTTTTGTACTTGTTCAACCATAGACTCGTATACATACATACATAAGTTATAGTTTTGGTATGCATTACACTCGGAAGCGTTGTACCTCTTTCGATGACTATTGCGAGCCCTCCATATTCAACACTCTTCGTCATATTGGAATGTATTTTCCTATTTTTTAAATAAATATTAGAAATAATATTCCCTCCAGTATTAAAAAATAGAAATAATATATTTCTATTTGTAGGTTTGTTAAATATTTGAATAATTCATTTATAATAAATAATTTTATCAATCCACAATTTTATTGTTCTTAGTATAATAAATAATAATTAATTTACTACTACTTTTTCCTATTTATCCAATTTTTTTATTAATTTTTTAATAGATTTTTTTTTTATATAATACTCTCAATGTACTTTTTATGAGTCATCTTGGTAGCACTATGATTATCACAATGAAGAACCGTAGAAGATGACTGAGGAACACTAAGATCAATGAGTAATTGACGAATTCATAAGAGTTAGGATGTAGAGTCAACAAGAACACGATACTCTGACTCAGCACTCGATCAAGAAACTCAAGTGTATTTCTTGTTGCGCTAAGAGATGAGAGAATCACTCAGGAACAAGTAGAAACCAATGGTCGAACGCCGATTGGTAGGGTCGCCAGCCCAATCAGCATCAGAGTAATCGCTGAGTGTCAAAGATGAGTGAGATAAAAAAATGTTTACCATGCAGAAGAGTATCTTTCATATATAGCGAAGAATATGTAAGACAACAGAGTAATGTAAGGTCCTCGGAGCGGCCATGAACTGACTCACAATGTGAACTACATGAGCGATATTAGGTTAAGTAACAATCAAATAGACTAAACTCCCAACAAGCTGACGATATAGATTAGGATCATCAAGAAGAGAGTCATCATGAGGGGTAAGTCGAACATCATAGGCAAGCGGTGTGCAAACTATCTGACAGTTTGTGAGGCCAGTTTGAGAAATAAGATCGGAGGCATACTTAGCCTGAGACAGATATAAACCATCGGAAGAATCAGAGACTTCAAGTCCTAAAAAGTAACGAATTTGGCCAAACCTCTTCATCTTAAACTACTGACTAAGATATGCATGTAGATCAAAAATACCAGACACATCATAACCCGTCATGATCATGTCATCAACATAAATTAAAAGGGTAACTATCCCTGTGGAAGAATGATGAATAAATAAATCAGATCGTAACCGAATGTGGTAAAACCAAACTCCAAAAGTGCAAAGTTAAATGTGGCATACCAGGCCCGAGGGGCCTGCTTCAACCCATATATAGTGCGGCGTAAACGACAAACCTTCGCAGAACCCAGGAAACCTGGAGGACTCCAGGAGTCCTATAAACTTCTTCAGAAAGAGTGTCATGCAAGAATACATTATTGACATCTAACTTAAATTGAGTCATATAAAATGAAGGATTAATCAATTATTTATTTATTTATTTTATTATAAAAATTATTTAAGATATTTTGCGTTTTTTATTTGCATAAAAATTGTATAATTTAGGTCTTTATTTAGAATTAAATATCAGTTTTGGACAAGACGGAGTTTCGTGCAAAATTTACATTAACATGAGGTGGTTTCGCGTAATAAATAAAACACACGATGTTTTGAGCAATTTTACTAAAATACAAGGGGTTAAGTTGGCGGTTTGCCTATTCAATATTTTCCACGTGAGCTATTGTAATTTTTCTCCATTTTTTTCTTTTTTAAATGTTAAGGTTGCCGGACTGTGTTTTTGAAGCTTTAGGTTGTGTAATATATTCGCCTCGTGTGTTTTATAAAATTAAGATTGCTTAAATATTACAAAGGGCGGAGTTTGACATATAAAATACTTAATAGTAATTTATAATTTTTTTTTTGTAATTATTTCAAGGATGGTATGACATTAAAAAAAATAAAAAATAAAAAATAAAAAACTTGATTAATTATATAATATATATTATTTTTCTTCTCTATCCAAATCTTAATTCCTTTTTATTCTTACATCAGTCAAAATTTGGATAAAATTATCTTAACTAACTATGCAAAATTATGACAATTTTAAAAATAAAAATATACTATTTATCTAACTCTTTCTGGTTTTGGCGAGTCACCTGCTGTTGCTGGTGCAGCTACTTCATCGGGGGTAGGCGGGGGGTCAGACGGAGGCTTCCGCTCCTGCAGCAGCAGCGCCCGATCCATCCGCTCCTGCACCGGATCCATCAGCTGATTCATCCCCTCTTGCACCCCACAAATCTGCTGATTTACCCCACAAATCTGCTGATTTATCCCCTCCTGCACCCCACAAATCTGCTGATTTATCCCATAAATCTGCTGATTTATCGGCTCCTGCACCCGATCTATCTCCTCCAACAACTGACGCATTTCTATTTGTGCTGTTGCTGGTGCAGCTGCTGCATCGGGGGTTAGAGCTGGAGGTGACCGTTGGTGGTGCTGGTTGTATTGTTGGTTGTGCTGCTGCTGCTTGTTGTGCAGGTGTTTCTGCTGGTTGTGCTGCGAGATCATCGTATAAATCCAAAAAATCATTTGACAAAAACGATAACCAATAATATAGATCGGCACGAGCCATATGCATCCAATCGCAATACAAAGTGGAACTTTGTACCGCCAGTGTCCAAGTATAGTTCGACTGAACAAACCAATATAAATAGACCAAATGGTGCCCAGTGCCAAGACATCTACCATCTCTAAAAAATAATGGCATCTCTCTCGCAATATGGTAGCGCAAAATAGCAGGCCATTCCCGAAAAGCAAGCCAATCACCAACAATAAATCTATGGGTGTGAGCTTATGTTTCTTCCAGGTCAGGAAGAATGAAAATACGCACACTACTAAGGCGTTGAACGTAAACACTCCGACGTTGTGTTTACGTATGCCCGCTACGATTGGATCGGGCAGAGGTAGACAAGTCCTCTGACTCATCTTCTTTGTCATCTTCTTTGCTGCGAAAAGAATGCACATCAATAACATGCATATACAAAAATAATTACCAAACAGCCGTAATTGAAAATTCTAAAGCCTATCGATTAATCTTCAAAACAAACAATTAGAACACTCTCATAGAAGTAGATATAATAATTTAAGGGTCACATAGTAGATGCAATGTAATTCAAGTATAATTCCATAAAAAACAAACAATTAAAACACTCTCACAGAAATAGATATAATAATTACGCTTGCAGAACAAAACGCTGAAGCTTCTAGTGTTCTGTGCAAGAGTTGAAATTGCAACCCAACTATCCAAGAGCCTAACCCAAAACAGTAAAATATCCTAAAAGATTGATTCAATTAAACTCTGGTATGAATCAATGGATTGTTTGTACATGTAAATACAGCTTCAACAAATTAAGGTTTAATTTATCGTCCAAATTATCAATCTCACGACTCCAACCATTAAAATTTAGGGTTTCAGATACTACCAATTTGCTGGACTGGTCATGGACGAAGGTGCTTGGGCGACGGTCGGCGGCTGGGCAGAGCACAGCGGTGGCGTTGTACGGCGGCTGCTTTGGTGCTGTCGATTGAGGAGGAGAGAAATTGCGAACCCTAACAAATCATGTGTTAATAGTGTTTTTAGGGGCACGCATTGTTTTTTAGTTTGATAGGATTTGAAATCTTATCATCACATGCTAAAATTATGTAAGATTTATAAATTTCAATTCTAATTTGTTTTACAGATAAATTGAAGTATTTAAATTATTTATATTTTAATTGATATAAATTAAACTTGTATATATATATATTTTTTTTATCAAATTGAGTTGTTGCAGTAAATATTTTTTTAATAAGTATTAAAAATACTACATATTCATCTCTAGAGTTTATATTTAGTTTTTGCAGTTAAATTTATTATATTAAATTGTAGTACAAATTTATTATATTTATTTGAGTATATAATATAAAGAAATTTTAAATTAAAAATAAATTAAATGTATAAAATTAAAATACAAATAATAATATATAAATAATAAAAATAATTTTATATCCAATTAATAAAAATATAATCGGATACTCTTTCCACTAGTTCGATTATATCTTTTTTAAAATATCTAATCAAAATATGCTATATTTATACATCATCATATAATTATTCAATTTAAAAAAAAAAAAAAAGAAAAATTCAAACCCCCGTTACAACCACACAGGGTTTAGGGTTTCAGAACTTCTTTTATTCTTCTTCCCCAATTTGTCGATGGAGGTAGTTGAAGGCAAGTCAGTGTCGTTCGCGGATGGGGTGGTGGTGTCTGTGCGCAAGAATGGATTGGAAAAGGTGATGTTGACTTGGTCGATAATGATGGTGATATTTGAAGTGGTTAGAGCGGTGGCGATGAAGAAGATGGGAGTGGTGGAAGCGGCGGCAATGGTGGGACTAGTCACCGGCGGCACGTTAATCAATTTGTTCCGGGAGAAGAGCAACCGCTTGGGCAATGCAGCCGAACTGTTTGGTATGGTCTTGGTATGGATCTCGCTTAACGGATACGTGGCTTCGTTTCCATTCGACTTCGGACACCTGAGGTGGCCGATTACTATTTTGTGGATTTTGAGTGTACTTTTGTGGTCGCCTCTTATTGTTGTATCCGTCTCCCTCGTTTTATTGTATTTCAGATCACAAGAAGAATCTGCTCTAGAGAGTGTTTAAACACACTTTTATATGTCTTTTTTTTAGTTAAATAATTAGTAATTAATAATATATATTTCGAATCTATATATTAATTGTTTGTTTTGTAGTGTATGTTTATTGATTTGGATTTGTACGATGATGATGATTTGTGTGAGTACTCTATGCTATCCTTTTGACATTAATTTTAGGCGTTTTTAAGTGGAATCAGGAAATATGAATATAAAGGATGGTGATGCATTGGAAAAGGTATAGAATAATAAATTATTGTTTGGTAATATGTTTTTTAATTATGTATGTTCATTTAGCTTTGTGGATCCTGTCATTGATTACCACAATGGCCGTAATCTAGGGTGTGTTCCTTTTGATGAGTTTGAAAAAAAATTAGTTTGAGTTAGGTATGAAAATAATGTTAATGAGATGTTTTGTGAGAAGAAAAATATATTTTTTTTGAAAATGCAAAATTCAAATAGTAAAATTTGGGAAAACTTTCTTAAAGAAATAGACCCTAAAAGTTTCTTCTGGTAAAATTCAAATAGTAAAATTCTCTTTATAATTGGGATTACTGCCGACCGCCATTACTTCGAACTATCATCACTATTTGATTGTTTTTATGTTTAGAACTATAAACTTTTGGTACTTTGACGCATATGTTTTTTAATATTAAATTATTTTTAAAATATTTTATTTTATTATTTTCTTAAAAATTAAAACGGGTTTGTCCGGTTGACCCCGAACCCGGAGGATCGGGATGGAACGGATCCTAAGGCCGAGTTGAAATAGGGCGGAGCGGATCTTGGATCCTAATATTTTCTAGCGGGGCGGGTCCCGGAGCCTGCAAAACCCGCCCCGAACCCGCCCCCGTTGACATTCCTATTTGTTAACCCTAACAAATCATGTGTTAATAGTTTTTAGGAGCACGCATTGTTTTTTATTTTGATAGGATTTAAAATCTTATTATCACCTGCTAAAATTAGGGAAGATTTATAAATTTCAAATCTAATTTGTTTTACAGATAAATTGGAGTATTTACTTTTTTATATTTTAATTGATATAAATTAAACTTGTATATTTATCTTTTATTTTTTTATCAAATAGAGTTGATGTAGTAAAAAATTTTAACATGTATTAAAAATACTACATATATATCTCTAGAGTTAATATTTATTTTTTGCAATTAAATTTATTATATTAAAATGTAGTACAAATTAAGAGAAAGACAAAAAATAAATGTAACTTAGACATCATACACATTAATTAAATAATTTTAAAATTATTAATTTATTTAAAATATCATTAGTAATATAATTGAATATAATTATAAATAAATGTATGTCTTGCAGTAGTATGTTTATATTAAATATTATATTTTATAAAACCAACTAAATATGGTTTAAATATATATATGATTAAAAAGAAAAAAAAAAGATGGAGTTTTCTTTATTGGACAAGAAGGTATAATAGTAAAAATTGAAATGTAATTAGAATGAGATTTTAAAGTAATTTATCATTAAAAAATCCTCATAATTTCATCACCTATTTTGTAATCAAATATGAATTCATTAAGATTTTAAAATCTTATTATGTAGAATCCTACCAAGTTCGTGAATCAAATATGGCCTAATTAGAGTAAAAATATAAATATTATTTTAAAATAATTGATTTTTAACTGAAAAAATTATAATTATCAATGAAATTAATATATAAACCATCGACATTGTTAGAAAATTTTTCTAGTTAAAATATTAAAAAGGAAATAAAAAAATGTTTATCTTTAAAATTTTAAAGTATTATAAAATACAATTATTTTATAACTTTTATTATATATTTTGAAATATATAATGATTATTATTAAAAATATACATTAATTATATACTCCCTCCGTCCCACATAATTTGTCCCTATTTTCTATTTTCGTCCGTCCCACATAACTTGTATTTTCCTTTTTTGAAAATATAATTATACACTTTAATTGCATTTTAAACTTTATATTTTATAATTTTTTAATCTAAATTAAAGTATTTAGTTATCTTAATCTTAATCTATAATTATTTTTACTATACAATAATTATTTTTACTAATACACTTCTTAATTACTTACTAATCATACTTTACTTAAATTCTCGTGTCTACAGTAACACGTCCAAATTACCTAGGACGGAGGGAGTACTTTTTTAATTATTTTTTCAAATATTAAATTTTAATTATTATATATTAATAATGTTATATATATATTTATTAAATTATAAATATATATCGATAATTTGATAAAAAGTGAACATGACAATTGTTAGGTAACATTGCGGTGTTCAAAACACGTGTAGGAAGACCATGTGTTCGAATACGACCGTGAATAGGAATATAAACTCAATTATGTTCATATCAGGATATTGAATAAGTTATACCCACCCGACAACCACGTTTTAAAATTGTGTTTTACAAATTCAATTTTATAGTTTCGGTGTACATTACACTCAAAAGCATTGTACTTTGGGAGCTCTCCATATTCAACACTCTTCATCATAATGGAATGTATTTTTCTATTTTTTAGTAAATTTAAAAATAATATTTCATCCATGATTAAAAAATAGAAATAATACTTTTCTATAGGTAGGTTTGTTAAATATATGAATAATTTATTTATAATAAATAATTTTATTAATTTACAATTTTATTGGTCTTAGTTTAATAAATAATAATTAATTTACTATTATTTTTTTCAATTTATCCTATTTGTTAATTAATTTTTAATAGATTTTTTTTATATTCTACATGTTTGAAAAACACAACCCGGCAACCTTAACATTTAAAAAAAAAAAAAAAAAAAAAAAATTACAATAGCTAGTTTTGGAAAAGATTGAATATGCAAACGGCCAACTTAAATTGCGGTCATATTATATATTTTGAGAGTTGATTTTTATTTTGCGTTTTGAGATATTTTGAGAGTCTGAATTTTTTTTATTTTTTTTTTTAATTGTGCTTGGTTGTAAGATTTTTTATTTTCACATTATGGTGGATGTAAATTAATTTGTTATAAGGCTGAAAAAAATAAATTTTGATGTGATTATTTTTTAATAAAATTATATATAATAAAATAAATATAAATTATAAAAAGTTAATATGCAATATAAAATATTATCTTTTATATTAACGATACAATTTTTATATTTAATATCAAACAAAAAATCAAATCAAAACACTAAGTAAACAAATTCAAATTTTGGAAAGAAAATAGTACTCTCTTTGTTCATTCAATTTATTCTTGTTTTTTTTTTTTTGTTTAGTTTGTCCTCTAAATTTAGCTAATTATTCCGACTTCCCGTGAAATTAGTCTACATTTCCTTTTTGGCCGTCCCGCAAAATTAGTTATATTTCCTAATATAGTAATAATTAGTAAATACTAATTACAATTACAAATTTAACTATATTTTATTCAATTACTACTACTCCTAACTTTTATTGTTTGTTTTATTCTACATTTAAAAGTAGAGCTAGAATTTTGAATAATAAAAATAATAAATATTCAATATAATATAAATAAGTGTTTATGTGATGTCTAAAATTTTTAATTAATTTTTAATATAATATAAAAAATATTTGATTTGATATTTTATAATTGAAAATTAGTTAATAATGAGATTTGATTTAGAATTTGATTTTATATTTTATTAAAAAATTCATTTATTACTATTATTAATAGTGAAAAATATCAATTTGCTCAAATAATAGATACCGTATGAAAAAATACTAAAGTGTTAAAATTATTGTATATCGTAAATTTTTATATGGTATGATACCTTAACGAATATTTTCAATACGGCAATTGCATATACTTTTAGCATTGTTGGTATAATATATACCGAAAATATCAATACAATTTGATATTTTAGTATTTGATATATCGGTCTATATCAATAATTTAGTATATTGGTA